ATGAATTTATTGATCAAGGTTGTTTTTCTTAACAGATGTCAGAGAATGTGACAGCAATCCATGTCAAAATGGTGGAACGTGTGTGGATGGTATTCTAAACCGCTACTTTTGCCATTGTCCAAAAAAGTACTTTGGATACAACTGTAATAAAGAAATAAGTAAGTTTAGCTCTTCTTTGAAGTATAATGCTTACTTGTCAGTCCTTTCCAGATACGAACGTCTTGGCGCGCATGCTGTTTTGTCAGCTCATATGTGGTCATGTATCGGGTTTTGAGTTGTCGTAATAAGTTACCCCATAATAAAGTTGTAATATACTTCTCAACCTTTTACGTCAGTAATTGATTTTCAATCCATTTTGGGATCAGTTTCTAGAGAAAGAAATCCGCCATTTTCTAGAATSCATGGCTTATATGGTACATGACGTTAAAAGCTTAGAGGTCTACTGTCTRTTTTGTCGAAATGCAGCAAAGCTAGTRTATGTCAAATAATCAAGATGGCAGCTGTATTGACAACAGTTCATTGAATACAACAATGTTCGAGTAATGTCTACTCGAATCTTATGCAACATGATTAYTATATCTGAACATGAKTCATTTTTTTGGATTGCAAATGACAATCGTCTTCATACTGAGAACAGATACAGYACTATACAAGTAYAATAGTGCTGTTYATTTCAATTTAATAAAATTGAATAAGAACATTGCTTTTTCATACCAGGCCAGAGTGGAAATTTCTTGAACAATGTTATATAGAATAAATTTGATACATCAAATAATTCTATATCAAACTGTTCAATATATAGCAAGATGATAGTAGAAAAACGTTTCCACTACTAGTCACTAACTACATGTAGTGTGTGGAAGTGGGTTCGTTTATTCCTAGATAAACGAATTTTATTGATTTCATGAAGTATATGTTATTTTTTTAATCGTATAAAACATTAGCCATTTTGCGAATTTCGACGCAGTAGTCCTACTCAAAAAAATATCAAGACGAGTCACTCTGCATAAAGGTCACTGAGTCGTGAAAGGATATTATTGTCTTTTCATAAATGACTGAGCGTTATGCACGGCGCCACTTCTTGATTCCTAGCTTTGCGTATGACTGCTGAGGCAAAATCCGTAAGTTGGCTATTGGATTGCTTAATTCTCATATATGCTATAACAGTAAACATCTTATCTTAGTTTGTCTTAACAAAATGTGTTGTTATTGTCCATGTATGTAATCCATATATAGGTACAGTACACCAAATAAGGTAAGGTTTTTTAAAAACTAGCAAAGTACATTGTAGGTTTCCAGAGCCATGCTGCACTGGAAAAAATCGCGCGCTTTAAAGGTCGTAAATTTGATGTAAATATGATGTAAGTGTCCAAAATTCTGTAAATTTAATGGAAATCATTTACATCAAATTTTCAACCTTTAAAGCGCGCGATTTTTTCCAGTGCTGAAAGAATGGAATAGTGTGTATTTTCAGATTTGGACATCAAATTAGAGACAGATGTTAAACATCACTGAATTGGTGGTAACTTGGCCAAATTGGGAGAGAAGGAAGGTTCGGAAGCACTCTGTTGTACCTCTGGTGAGTCGTGATGAAACTATTTCAAGGGTTAACCTAGCATAAGGGCTATCAACCTTTATTAGAGATCCGCACCCAACGTTAAGTGATGGGATGTCCCGATAATCTATTTTTAGACAACCAATCACAACGCCTGATTGGTCCTTGTTGATTTACTTCAAGAGCGGACAAGAAAGGAATATGTAGTCGATGGAGAATTTTACACCTTTTGCGAAACAACCATTTCAGAATTTGATAGAAAACATTCTTTATTATATGAGCAATGCATGTATAGCGAAGGTAGTTCAAGAGCAATATGGTCTGCGAAAATAGTCAGGGAGCAAATGTCATTCATAAAAGTCCCTTGGCAAATCGATAATGAAAGCAAGCGACTAGTTTGAATGTGTAAACGAGGCTACACTTTTAAATTTCTTTTATTATTGTTATTTTTACATATTTTATCTCAAAAAACTGCTCAGAATACAATTCTTTTCTTTGCTTTCATATACTTTAATCCACATATAGTTTGATCACGTGACTTGAAACGCGAAAGCGAGGCTGAATATTGAAATTATTATTATTTCAAAATGATTTGAATCTACTTTTTCCAAATCTTGTCCAAAGTTTATCAATGTTTTGTTTTGTGATTTTTGTTTGGTTGAGAATGTCATTATGTCCTTACACAACAATTTTTCAAACAGAATTGTATGTTGAGATTTTTTTGACAAGTACCTTAGGCTTTTGTTAATATGATAAAATATTTACGATGTTTTTATAACTTTAATCGTCCTCATCTACACCATCACTGTCATCGCAGCTATCAGCGCCTATGTCGTAAACATCATCTTCAATGGCCTCAAAAGAGTTTTCACAGTCATCATCATCATCACAGCATGCACACACTTCAGTGCAATGGAGACCAGATTTACGGCATTGACACCGATTGTTGGAGCATCTTTGCCTAGTGCACCCACACTTCACTAACTCAATGATTGCCTCAGGGGCAGGTAGTTTCTTTGTCATTAAAGGAACCCATTCTCGATTGCTGTCGAGCTCCCACCTATGTCCTTCAGGTGATGGTATGTCTGGTGTATATACTTTGTTAATGTTCCAAACCAAAGTCTAGTAGTTGGCTCCGAGAATGGCCTCAAATAGTGATCCTTGAGTGGGCGGAAGTCTTTCTGACTGTGCTTAATTGGTTCTTCTTGAATAGGGACCACCTCAACTTTCCTACATCAGACGTGGTGCACTTTTTTTGGTAAACATGGCTTACATACAAGCTTGCAAATACCTTTCATGGTTTCTTCATCTGGTTTTTCGATAATTCCAAGACTTCCGAGAGTTGAGACTATATCTTCATCATCAGCTGAATTGAAAACTTTCCAGCATATCTTCTTTCCTTTCCCGGAAAAACAACCTGTGATATCTGCCCCGCTTAAAGCATGGAAAGCTGGTAGAGCAGATGATTTTTCTTTGCCAAGTGCATGGAAAATCGGTCTCAAGCTGATACTACGGTGTCGTGTTCCTACTCCAGTCACAAGTGTTTGTGTTGCGTCAAAGCTCTGGATATCGACGTATTGACAACATTATGAAGACTTTGGTGATAGCCAGCGATCCCATCACAAAAAATGCAATGATCTTGTCAATTGTGGAGAGCTTCTTCAATTGTTACATCAGATTTACGCTTAGCAGATGGTCATTCCTGTCGACTTTCATACCGGGTCTTTGCTCTTTTCAAATTACCAGAGTGAACAGCGTCCTTGTAACACGTTCTTTGTTATTGTAAGTAATAAGTGTCGGAGCACGACATCTTTGAGACTTCGTTTTCGTGGTCGTGGCTATTCCACCAAGCTACATGTAGTGTATCGAGTCAGAACACAGAGCGGATTCATAGAGCCTTGCATTTATTCCTGAGTTTACATCAAACTGACTCTTGCACAATTTYACACAACATTTATACTAGAATAATTAATTACACGGAAGTATGTATTCCCTAGTGGATACATAGCAATTCCCCTCTCTTGAAAAGGAATAGTGGTATAACAAATACTAACAATTTATAAGGTTAAATTCAAGATCAATGTCAAATTCTAAGTTATATTATCAGTTCCAAATATATTAAGTGTTATCAGTTCAATAATCAAACCCAAATCTAGTTGGAGGCTTGCGCTCTCTAACAGGGTTTCTTCTTGGCTGTAAAGGTTGTTCGGTTGCTGTTTCATCATCTGCCTTTCTAGGACTTCCATTGCGGGGACTGACTGTAGGTTGTTCGAGTTGAACCTGTTGCTGCTTTTGTTCCTTCTGAGTGAGTGTCTGTGGCAGCGTAGTTATTGGTTCCTTCTGAGGACTTCCAATTGGTTCCTGTGGAAGCGGTGGTACCTCGAGAGCTGGTACTGGTAAGTAGTCAGGAACAGTAATTGGCTGCAAAATGGTACTATCTTCATCAGATTTACATTGAAGAGACCTTGGTCGAAGTTGATGCTCGTGCCTTTTCCAAACTGGATATCCTTCGACATGCACGAAATATGACCGTTGCAAAACCTCAATCACAATCCCGGGTAGCCAACGAGGACCTGCACGTAGGTTCAGTACGTAGACTTTGTCACCTACAGAGAATCTGGGTAAGCAATTAGTATTCTGTTCAAATATATCAGCCTCCTTGTGGCTTGAAAGGGAAGGTACAAGGCTTGAAAATTTCGTTCTCAATTGTCTGTGCATAAGCAGATATGCAGGACATTCAGCAGTGGCAGGATGAGGCGTACATCTATACGTAAAGAGGATACGATTCAACTTCTCTTGTAAAGAAACTTCTGCTTTCTCCATCTTACACAAAGCAGATTTGAAGTATCTGACATAACGTTCTGCCATGCCATTGGACGCGKGATGTCCGGGAGGTGTAAGCGTATGTCGGATGCCATGCTTCTTCAAGAAGTCTCCAAATTCGCTACTGGCGAACTGAGGGCCATTATCTGAAACGATATGCTCGGGAAGACCAAAGTTAGTAAATAATTTCTCTAAGTGACGTATGGTAGCTTTAGAATTAGTAGATTTTACTGGCAACACCTCTAACCATTTAGAGTAGCTGTCTATCACAACAAGGAACATACTACCCATATAAGGACCGGCGTAGTCAACATGAAGTCGTTTCCACGGTCCGGAAGGCCAGTTCCACTTAGCTACCGGAGGACTGGGAGGTAAGGAAGCATTCTCCTGACACTCTACACAATGCTTAGTTATCTGTTCAATGTTATCATTCATTTTAGGCCACCAAAAATACTGCCTTGCGAGACCTTTCATTCTAACTGTACCCGTATGCTCCGTATGCAAATCAAGCTAGAGTGTTGGTCTAAGTGAAGCAGGAATAATGACTCTACTCCCCCACAAGACACACCCTTGTTCAACTGTCAATTCTGTCTTACGCAAGAAATAAGGTCGTAGATTGTCATCATGACACTTACTTGGCCAACCTTGCAGAACTCTTGACAAACTGGAATCTTTCTGAGTCTCCAGAGTCACTGTTTTCGTGGTAAGAGGTAGCTGCTTTAACGATTCTTCATCAATAGAGGTTTTTCGCTGACGTCACGTATCCCGTAGCAACGCCGATGGCCGCCATCTTGAAGGTCACATTAWCAATATAAACACATGTAGTTTTAACGATGTTCGCGAAAAAATCTTACTTCTCCTCACTTGATCCAGCTTCAAAAGGGCGATGTCTACAAAAAATAGCATCTATAATAACATAGATACTTATGAAGTACAAAACAAGGACTGGAGCCCAAATATTAGCGATTTTCCGGCGAGTAACGTTCTTGGATCTTGTGACATRTCTCGTTCTAAAGTCAAATGCTTATACTCTTGACCAATTCCGCACATTGTAATTGTATGGCTAGCCTTGGAGAAACATGCACCCACGTAGGGGCTTTACTGTTTGCAATTGAATGTTATATTCGACACCGGGGAACAAAAACAGTCACACTTTTTCTAAAAGCCTACTGGATTGTGCCCCCAACCCGTGATTAAGTAAGCTATGAACCTGTTTCTGAGATTGACTTTACATCTGCTGTTTCTCAAAGGAAAAACTTGTATATTCTAAGAAACACTGGGAAGAACGAAAAACCGTTTAGGTGCAATGTGGTTTTTCCTAAAATGACATTTGACTAGTTGATAAAGACATAACTTAATTTGAAATTCGATCGA